TCAACAAAATTAACATTTCTTCAGATAAAAGCATCTGCCAAATGCATACGTGTAAACGAAAATACACTCAGAGGGTGGTTGAAAAACTGACAAATAAAATGTAAAAATATGTGGATCAAATTGACCCACAAACATCATAAGCGTAATATAAATGTTGTACATACATTTTACAACACGTCAGAGTGTCAACACTTTCCAGGTACGTTCATGACCCTAAATGAGAAAAAGTCACAAAACTTCAAGTGCATGTCAGATAGACAAGCAACCTAATATAAGTGTTAAATACTAACCTTTTTCATAAAGGAATGTTGGCAGAAAGGTTGGAAAATTATGTTAGTGTAATGCAATTAGGCATATACATAAAATAAATGTAAATTATTTATTAGTTGTTAATTTTGCAGAACGGCAACAAAAGAATTTCAGCTGATCAAATTTCTAGATTTCAAGGGTAAAGCCTGTTATGTCTATTTTGTATATGGGCCGCAACAGACATGCACAACAACCCAGGAGTCAAAATAACCCTGTATAGAAAAACGGCCCATTAACCACATTCAATTCACCGAAAATGCCAATCAAGTCTGTTTCTCTAATTTGTCCCGGAACCCCACTGACAGACACATCCACTTGTTTTGACAGTTGTAACGGCTCTTGTTAATGGTTGAGTGAGTGAGCAGGTCACAGTTCACGGTGTGATGGCTTTGGCACTAGGACCCAGTGACAGCTGCAGAGCTGAAAGACGAGACTATACAACGACTCTGCGCTCAATCTGCTGCCTTCAGTGTCCCGCCAAACTTTGTAAAAGCCCAAACACTGCCATTCAGAGCTCTACTCTAGATACAACACTCGAATAATTTAAAAAAAAGGTTTACATTGGCAAAACATACACATGTACCATATTTTCCGGAATACAAGTCCCGTTTTTTATCATCTGACAAGTGCTGTGACTTGTATTTCAAAGCAACTTATATAATGCACTTAACGCCAAATAAACAGTTAACTGTTTACACTGTAAAAAAATATTTAGCAGTTTAGTTGATTCAATGATTTCTTTAAGTTGACACAACGTGCAGTTTCTGAATTTGTTAACATTTTAAGTTTAAGACTGAACTAGAGATTTGCCCCCTCAACTTGTGTTGTCAAAATGTGTTGAATCAATTTAATAACAATATCATGTTCCCAACATCACTTATCGCGAGAACTTGTGGAGACCATTGCAGACAGAAGATGTTCGTCAGCCATCTTGGTGAGCTTCTCCACAAAGTTTAGAAATTTTCTCAATCTACAAATTTGGTAAGTAAATATTTGTATGTATTGGTTTAACGTGTAAAATTACGTATGTTGTCTAAGAAGAGTATATGGTTTAAAGCGTCGTATTTTCTAGTTATATGTATGCCAGTGTTCGTTTCGCGGCACTCTGAAGCCTCAAAATACACGCGGTTGCACAGTATTTTCCACATAAATATTATAATAAATATTCTCCCATGTGGTACTGCGCTGAACTTATCTAGAGAACGATAAATATACAGTTTGGTAGGTATTATTTGAGCCCTTCTGTAACAGATTATGAGCACAACCAAAAACCTCTCAAACAAACAATCTTGAGGTCTTCATTTGAGGAGTAACTGAATCAATATGCTTTTATAGCATATTGAAACTTTGCTGTCAGTGATTTGTGTACAAATCTGATTTGTCTACAATATGTGATCATCAGCTTGTAATACGTATCACATGTGTAACAATGCGGCCCGTGACACTGTGCTGTTTTCTTGTTGTCTCTGCCTGTGGTCTGGAGGACTATGAAACATTACTCCTGAGGCTACAATGGACTTCGCTGTTGAGCAAACATGCAACCGGACACCTTGAACAGCTGCCAAAGCTGACCTCTGGTCAATCTCTGCACTCTCAGACAGGTCAGCAACCCCAGCGCTGCACACCAGCTCTCTACTGGTTACGCGGTCAGGTGATTTTTTCATTACAATTTCCTGTTGGATCTGTATTGGCTCACATATTACTTCCTCTGTACAAATGATAGCAAACCGTAATAGAAAATTCAGGATTGTTTTGAGGGACTGCACAAAATTATGTTCATGAATGCAAAAATTCCTGTTCTGGATCACTATCTTTTTTGAATAAAAATACCTACATTTAAAACAATATTATTTTATGTGAGAGGCAAAATTGTATGTTAAGATTCCTTTTCAAAGAATTATGCAGTTCCATTAACGGTTTAATGCATTTACCTTGAAAAAATGTAATTAATTTTATTTTCATTTTTATGGTTTATGCTAAAGAAGCAGTGACAAATCTGCTAATGCAACAAAAATGTAAGATGTAAGATACATTTTAATTATTTAAATGGTCAAATATGTATATATATATATATATATATATATATACATATATATGTGTGTGTGTGTGTGTGTGTGTGTGTGTGTAAATAAAGTTTTTTTACTTTATACATACTCCAAAAATAAGCAGCAAAAACATTTTTTATAACATTAATAAGAAGAAATGGTTGGGGACCAATCAACTATTAACTACAACTTTTGCCTCAATAAACTCCTAATTTGCTGCTTATTAATAGTTATAAGGTAGCTGTTAAGTTTAGCTATGAGGTAGGATAAAGGGATCTAAAATATGCAGAATAAGGCATTAATATGTGCTTTATACGTACTATTAAACATCCAATATGCTAGTAATATGCATGCTAATATGCAACTAGATCATAGTGAGAATTGGTCCTTAAAATAAAGTGTTACCAAAGAAATATTTCTTGAGAACTAAATCAGCATATTAGAATGATTTCTGAAGGATAATTCAGATTTGCCATCAAAGAAACCAGGTATTTTATAGTTATAATATTTCACAGTATTAGGGTTTTTTTAAGGGTTTCATTAAAAACATTGAAAAATCTTAAAGATTCCCAACGTTTGAATGGTAGAGTAAATAATTTGTTGTTTCTGCATTTACTTATATAATATAATGCAGAAAACTACAAAATAAAGCCCTCTTTATATCAGTGAGCACTACTGAATCCTGCACTTGGACTTGATCATTTAAAACTGGTCAGCCAAACCTATTTTCATGCTTTAATCCTGAACAGAGGGAATGAATGAAAGAAAGCGAGTTTGAGAGAAGAGGCTGCATAGAGTGTTTCCGTGGCAGTGTGGCCCGAAATGCTTTTTGTAGTAGCAGCTTGAGAGGCTTTGCTGCCACTCCTAAACTTTACATTTCATTTGGCCGGAGGGGTCACATGACAGCTGCAAACGAATGCCCCGAGGGCCTTCTGCTTTCACTTGACACTGACAAGCTGTGAGGGACTCCAACACCGCGGAAAGAAAATATTCCCTCTTTCCATGACATCACCCAGCCTGGAATGGAGGAAAAGGGGAGGATGGCAGGAGCAGGAGAGGAGGAGGAGGAGGGGGTGGCACAGCTGGTGACAGCCGCAGTACCATCTGCTCCTGACTAATAGTTCATGCTGCTTTACTTACACTCCTACTATTCAACAACAAGCGAACGAATGGGAAGCCTGCTGCAGAGGCCCGCCAAGACTTCGGAGATTCCTGATTGACAATAATTCTAATCTTCTTCACCACTTCACTCTCATGTGATTCCTCAGAGCCCTCCGTTTCACTTCTCACCTCCAGCGATCACCTCTGGGACGGTCCAAGCACCCTGAGTGCTGAGGCTACATCGTCGGGAATTTGTCTTGTTACTTTGTCATGTGACACTGACAATGTGTCTTAACCAGACGCAACTTGACAAGTTACCAGCGACAAGTAATATCTCTGTCCACAGTAAAAATGGCATATTTCTACATATTTAACATGAAAACAGTGTTGCCAATCCATTTTACTTTAATAATGGGACATGAAACAGGATATTCAACAAGAAAAAAATCTAAGTTCTGATTTTATGCACCAGGAATGGATTGGTTCTTATAAAGCGGCTGAAGGTGTGAAAAATAAGAGGGCTTGGTTGCATCAGTTGAAGTCGTTTCAGAAATAAAGCAAATTACTACAATTTGATGAAAGATTACGAAAGAAACAATGCATGCACCAATAATAATAATATTTTGTCCAATACCGATAAGGTAATAATTACTCATTTGTGATGTTAAAATGTGACACTATTTTGTATAAATAAATTAAATAAAATATGTAAACACTTATTTAAAAAAGTCTATTTTATTGTAACAATATACCACTCATTAGGTCTGCATGAAATATGCAGATTTTTTTGAAAAATCAAACTGATTTCAAATCAAATTGAAATGATTTTTCTCATAAAAATAAAATTGCGATTTAAAATGAGATTTTAAAAAATCATATGGCTATATAATAACAATAATAATAATTTTACATTACTACTGTAAAATTATAATACCAATATTTATGCCTGTCTTAATTTTTTTTATTTTTTTTAATGTCCTGAATTGTGGCCAACAATGCCAGGAAAATGTATTACGAAACTGGGTCAATATTGATTTACTGTTGATTTAACAAACAGCCATTGAGCAAGATTTTGGACCAACTAGATGTCTCTGTGTCTGGGGCCGCCCAGTTCGACAAAAATTGGAAACCAAGTGATCCTAAGTGACAAACTGTTGTGATCAATGGTTGTGACTGCTTCAGACAAAACCTCAGATGACCATTAAAGAGATTTAGCATGTGCAGCTGGTAAGGACAATGTGTTATTTGCCATTTTATAAATTGTCAACTGAGCTAAACCAAAATCGACACCTTGCATTTTTCTCTCTACTGTTGAAACAGATAAACTGATTTTGAACAGTCTGAAAGAGCCACCGAGTTCTTACCATACATCTTGCCCTCATCCGAGAGGATAATTTTGCGGCGTCCACAGGGCGGGTAGATGGCCAGTGCCTCCTGGAAGCTCTGCTCTATGTCAGGGCTCCACACCCCCTCAGCATCGCTGTCAATGGGTTTGTCTGCCGAGTCACTCATCCTCTCAATATCCTCGGCAGAGCTTTCACTGCCACTCCAGCTGCTGGGATCAATGGCGGCGATTGGGACCTCCAAGCCGAAGCCTGGAGCAGACTAGGGTGAATCCTGGAAGTGACAATAAGCAAAGACAGAGTTGTGGTTACTCTCTCTCTGGAACAGATATCTGTCACTGAGATATCAGGTGATACAGTTGTTTGGTGGTAGGATCATTTTCCGTTCATGGAACTGGTTGAGCCTGAACATTTCCAACCATTCATAAAAATAGAGCTAAGTTTATAAGAGGTTGCCCTCTTTGGTGAATTCAGTGAATGGCTTACTCGTAGTTGTCTCTACACATTAAACCGGCATTAGGGAAAGTATTTTAACGTTGAAAAAATTACACACTTCAGCTTTAACTACATAGCACCGTAAAACTGAATTTGTTATTTTCATTAAAATGACAGTCAAAGTGGGAATACGAAAATTAAGCTCCTTAAATTGCTTAATTTTTTTTGTATGGAGAATTATGACTTTATGAATTTTGAAGTGTTAACAGAAATAAAATAAAAACTAATTTAAAAAAATATTTATTTACTTAAAATACTTTTTTCATTTCTCAACATTTCTCATTTTAAATAAAAAAAAATAATAATAAGAATTTGTTATTTTCATTAAAATGACAGTCAAAGTGGGAATACGAAAATTAAGCTCCTTAAATTGCTTAATTTTTTTTGTATGGAGAATTATGACTTTATGAATTTTGAAGTGTTAACAGAAATAAAATAAAAACTAATTTTAAAAAATATTTATTTACTTAAAATACTTTTTTCATTTCTCAACATTTCTCATTTTAAATAAAAAAAAAAAAAAATAATAATAATAAATGATAGACAAAATAAAATAAAAAAACTACAAAAAATTACAAAAAAAACAACAAAACTAAAAATTTAAATGAAAACAGAAAAAAAATAATTCAAAATAATAAAAACTACAATAGTATCTCGAAGATACTAAAATAACTGCCAATATTATGAAAGAACATGTATTAAGAAACTAAATAGTCCATTTTAATACTGTTTTGACTTTAGAAGGCTCGAACAAGCAATTTTCTGGTTATCAGCCCTGAGTTTTGGCCACTACTCCAAATCACCCCATAAACCGGGGTCATAAACCATAAGAATGCAATTTCCTTCTGAACATGTTAAATTCTCCACCCAGCTTCACATGAACCACCGAGGATATCCAACATGCAATACCTCCGAGGACTTTCATTCTTAAAGACTTTCCCCGTTACTCCGTGTGCCACTCCACCCCTTCCCCCACCCTCCCGACAGTACTGTCAGATATACAAACTGTTTAAAGATGGCCAGTTTGAGGGGAACGCTCAGGAGTTCAGCGTAGATAAACATGTTTACTTCAGCTATCCTGGCAGTGCTGGCTCCCATATGCTAACGGAAAGCCTTCTTGAAAAATGGCTGCCACGGATCCCTCGGTCACGCGTGGCCTACTTGAGAGAGGGAGCTAAGGCCAATGTCTCAACACGTCTGTTTCGCCTGAGGGAGTTTGACTTCCCTATAGAAAAATACCAGTGACAAGAGGGTGTGGTTTCAAAGTGACTTGAGCAATCCCATTTTAACGGGTAGATTTAGTTTAGCATTAGCTGGACCAGCCTGAAAAATTTTTTGTGTGTGTGTGTGATTTGAGCTAAAGTAGCATAATTTTTTATAAAAATCAAATTTTATTCCCGATTTGAAATACCAAGGAGATTTATTTGCATGACTGGAAATATCTGCCTCTTTGATTTTCCTTAAAAGGGACATTGACTTTCATATGTTGTTTTCCAATTTCTATGCTATCCATGCTTTAGTATGCAATATAAAATGTATTAGTGCATTGAAAGTAGTAAGCCAAAATTGGGTGGATTATATACTTTTAGTTTTTACTCTGTAATATATATAATTTTTTGAAGTTGCAATAAAACATAGATTATTAGAGTGTGTGGTCATACTTTAGTTTGAGGACCAATTCTCACTATTAACTAACTGTTAACTATGACTTTTGCCTCAATAAACTCCTAATTTGCTGCTTATTAATAGTTAATAAGGTAGTTGTAAAGTTTAAGTATGGGATAGGATTAAGGGATTAAAAATATGGTCATGCACATTAAGGCATAAATATTTGCTTTATAATTACTAACAAACAGCCAATATGCTATTTTTTCTCTAAACTAAACTGCTACTGAGTATGTTTTCTAGGTAACACTTTAGTATAGGGTCCAATTTTCACTATTAACTAGTTGCTTATTAGCATGCCTATTATTAACATAATGGCTGTTTATTAGTGCTTATAAAGTACATATTCTGCATGACCATATTCTACATCCCTAATCCCAATACCCTAAACTTAACAACTACCGTACAAACTAATAAGCAGCAAATTAGGAGTTTATTGAGCCAAAAGTCGTAGTTAATGGTTTGTTAATAGCGAGAATTGGATCTTAAAATAAAGTGTGACTGTTTTCTAATACTATTTCAGTCTTCCTGTTTAATTCGGTGTTACTTGCTGTTTCTTTCTAATAATTTGTGAAATTTACTAGCAATTTCTGAGTGAAAATTGTTTCTACACCATTTTTTTTCAGTGCATGCATGCTTTTCAGCTAATAATGCCAACAAACCATTGTGCAATGGAAGAGGCAGCATCAGTGATGGTTCACTTTTGGAATTTTCCATTCTTACTTGGCTCCATGGTTCATATTTGTAAAAACTGCAATGGCAGCTTCAGCCTTCCTCATCACTTTTTACAAGTATATGAACCAAGAAGTTGAGTAAGAATGAAATGTAGAGAATTTAGAAAGATGCTAACATGTAACATTAACAGTACAAGACTGATTGCAAGATTTAAATTTATGATGTGGCAGTATGTCCCAATGCTGTATTACAAACAATGTATTACAATATTGGTGGAGTTCCCTTTAAAATCTTAAATGATTCCCTTTGAGCTAAATTGACCTGTTTCCCTTACACTACATACTCACAGGCCAGAATAAAAGTACATACTGTATTTTACTGAACACTAAGTAAGCAAATTTAGATTTGTGGAAACATAAGTACCTGTAACAATGACACAAAGTCACATACTTATTAGCGACCAACAGCAACTTGCCAACATGTAGCGAATTGTTATGCATTACATGCATTTAAAGGAACACGCCACTATTTTTGAAAATAGTTTTCGAAACTCCCCTAGAGTTAAACAGTTTTTTACCATTTTCGAATCCATTCAGCCGATCTCCGGGTCTGGCGGTAGCACTTTTAGCTGCAGCTTAGTAGGGCTGCACGATATATTGAAATTATCGAAATATCGCGAATGTAAATATCGCAATATGCATATCGCAACGGCGTGCGATATCTGAATCATTTTAATAATAGGCTACTTAAATCAAAACGTTGCAAAAGGTCAACGTTTTAGTTCGACGCATATAGCAGAGAATTGCTTGACGTTAAAAAGAGTTAAATGTTAATCAAACAACAAAACAGCTATAACAAAGATTAATCTAAATTTAATTCATACAGTGAACACTATGCAGTGTTATTTTACACTTAATTATTACATTTCTGTACCTGAATACTACTGTTTATTTTATCTATGCTTGTAAATTGTGTATTTCTTTTTTTCTTTTTCTTTCTTTTTTTACTGACTGTTCACTTGCCTTTATTCATGCTTGAACTTTCTCAAACTATAGTTTTTGCTGTGGTATATGAAGAAGTACTTAAAGTGTGTGGAAAGCAAAGTTACAATGATATAAAATTAGCGTCATTAATTATTTTGTTTGTATGTTCACATTGATGTTAAATTACATTTTCTGATTTGTGACATTACTTTTTAAGTAATGCTAAAACACTGCTGGTCCGCCTGCTGCACCCATGGTACGGTCTAATCAGATTCAATGATCTATGCTAAGCTACAGCTAAAAGTGCTACCGCCAGACCCGGAGATCGGCTGAATGGATTCGAAAATGGTAAAACTCAACTGTTTAACTCTAGGGGAGATGGAAAATGAGCCTATTTTCAAAAATAGTGGCGTGTTCCTTTAAAATAACATATGGGAAAAATTAGGGTGTAAAATGATCATTTGAAAAACAGATGGTCAAGATTCGCAATAAAGCATTTTTGATAATATTACAAACCCTACTGATAAAGCACAGTCATTTGTCTATTTTAAATGACACATCATTTAGCGAATGACCATATTTTCAATAGATTATTTAAGCCTTGGTAGTAAAATGTGATAACAATTAAAACTTAATTTGCACAAGATGAATGCCACGCTTAAACTGCACGAGATGGATGCTCAGAATAATACTAGACCATGGCAATTTCTAACCACTCATTGCTCTGAGTTCTATCATCAGACCAAATGGATCTACTCTGAATTTACATTTCCACTTAGATTAATTGGAGGTTATTCTGCCTTTGATGGTAATGGAAAGTGTAGTAGCTGGTTCTAGATAGGCAGGCGCTCTTTAGTGAAGAGAAACAGTCGACCTGATGCAGCGGATCCCTGCTGCTGGACTGGGTCATACAGTTGGGTTAAATGTTAGAGATCAGGCCATGGGTTGTATCTTTTAAATGTAACATTTGCATTTACAATTAAAAACAAGCAATGTTTGCTGTAGCAGATCAATTTTGAAATAGACATGCATTTACAGAAAAAAGATCAATAGCCTAAAAACAGCCTAATCACGCTACATGGCTGAAGTCCCTCGATGATCATTTAGCCTTCGATTCATCATCGTAACTGACTCACCTCTGCCACTATTTCATGCAACATCTCTCATGGGAGGCCCAGATCAATGCCGCCTAAAAGATAATGATAATTTCCGCCTAGTTCGAGAGCGCTGCATTATTGGATTACTTCAACAAGCACAAAAAAATGGGAGTATGATTAAAGCAGGATTTTATCTTTTAGCCTTTCCCCTGCAATTGATAATGAAGCAGTCATTCATCAGATGGGACCAAGAAAATCCATTGCAAGTCTAACCAATAAATATTGCAATATTATAACTCTAAACAAAATCCACTAAAAGGAATTTATTGTATGCTAATGCTACAAATGAGTTTAAATAT